GAATTGCTAAATTCTGAACAAGGTCAGGTTGGATGGGGCTTTGAGCAACCTGGTCTAGCAGAAGGTGTCCCTGCCCATGACAGGGGGTTGGAATGAGATGATCTATAAGGTCTCTTCCAACCCAAACCATTCTATGATTCTACTATTCTATGATTCATTATCTGTTTTGCCTTTTCCTGAGTCTCTCAGCAACTGTGTTATTTCATTTTAAAGCAGGAAACAAGGCAGTGAAGATAATCTGAAATGCAACGACTTACCCAACGTGGGAGAGGAGGAACTTCTTTCGTGAACATCGACTTTGTGGTTCTGTTGAGCAGCGTGGTCCGGAGCACGTTATTTAAGTGTGCAGCTGAGGATGAGCGACACTAACAGAGCCTACACCAAACACAGCATGACACGGCGCTATTTCAGTATAATGCTGGATGTAGAGCTTGCACAGCAGCATGTTATAAGACATCCGTCTACTTGTCATAAACATTGAACATCTCCGATCGCTTGGACTGCTGACTTCTTGTGGGAAAGGTGCTGGCTGATAGCAGAGAGGTGAGCTATCGCGTTGAGCAGCAACAGTGCTTTGCAAAAAAAAAAAAGAAAAAGAAAAGCAGTCAGACAAAAAAAACCCGCATTTGGAATTGCTTTTACCTGAGTTTAATGCCAAATAATTTCTGGGAACCACCGCCAGCGTCCCAAGGGTGTTGCGTGCCCGTCGCGTGGTTGGCAGGCACACACAGAAGGGTGAAGCTTTTGCCGAGCGGCATACACAGGAGTAAAACTACACGCGCGCACTTGGAGTGCTCACGACCTGCCGGCGGTGTTGTTGCATCTACTTCTCGTTGTTCTGGTTTGTTTTTAATTGACACCTTTTTAACTGCATGGGAACAAAGCAAAAACCCACCTTCTCAGCTTTTTTTAAAGAATGCCTGCCTTTGTGAGCTGTGTTGTGTTTAACAGCATCTTTGGGACGTTCAGAAAGTGAGGTTAATTACCTCCTGAGGTAATTAATGCCTTTCCTAAGGTCTTGGTGTGACTAGGACTGGGTAAGTTGAGTATTCAGTCTATGAAAGGAAAAGGTATTTAAGGGCTTAAGTTCAGTCTGAACTATTTTTTGCTGCAGACTTACACGTGGAAGGTGGTGTTTAGCTGAATGTTTTGAACAGCAGAGGAAGCACTAACAACAGTTTGTTTCTAAATCTTTTACTTGATCTAGGTAGATATATTATTAAATATAAAATTCAGGGTAAAATCCTTCACTTCCATGTACATTACATGGTTTACTACAATTAAAAATAATACAGCTTATGCTATTTTTTAAGTATAGACTTAGGGCTTGCTTAGAATTTAAGATCTTAATGAAATACTTAGACTAGCTAGTAATTTTTAAAGAAACTTGTTTTCCAAACCCTTAATCTGGATTTTGGGGCCAATGCTATGTATTTTTTGCAAGTTCGTTACCAGTAATTTGTGAATGCCTGTGGATCAGAGGCTTGTTAGTAAATTAAGTGTATACCTAATTCAAGGATTGTTTGTTATGAAGAGCTCTTTCACCTTCAGTCAGATTACTCTGATTATTTTGTGGTGCTTGTTAAAAATAATAGTCTGTCGTGTGGTGGGAGAGCCCCTGGCGTCCAGAGTCGCTTTCCCAAGTTCTCTGTGCTCGGACAAAGCTCGAGAATGGCAGAGTGTTGGTGAGCTGGGGAAGAGTCAGGGTTTGCCTGAGGAAAGGGGTCATGGTAAGTGCCAGTGTTTTGCGGATGGAGCGTGGGACTGGGGAGGAGAAGGTCCGACTTCTCAGTCTGATGTGGTTGTGTGACCTTGAGTGAGGCATTTAAACTGACAGTGTACCTGAAACGGGCAGGATTTGAATGTCCCGAGCATGTAAGGGACTGCTAAGGCGTAATTCTTTGCCCTGAGGAAGAGAGACCCAAGTATTTTGGTTAACGGTGAGATCTCTGCCTGCTAGCCCTGGCCACGGGGGCCCTGCCGTTAGGAAGTGACCGTCCCCTTGTCTTCCTTGCTCCAGGGCACTGCAAGCAGCGGAGCACTGAGGTGCTTGGCCCTACTGCAGTCGGACCTGGCCCGGTAATTCCTGTTTACGACAGGTCTTTGTTAAAGCTGGCGTAGCATTAGCAAGTGTGCAGGTGCCTACACAAACCGTCCCTTACATCTTTTGATCACTTGAAGCAATGCTCCCCCTAAATCGCAATTTATTACCGAAACATTGTGCTGCCGGCCTCTCCCCAAGGCCGGTGACGCTGGTTTGTGGTCTAGGAGCAGTACTATGGAGTTTGGAGCCATACGACACGCACTGTTTCCCTCCCATGTTAGTCCGAGGCTACGCCAAAGCCCTGCAGCTCCAGCTATGGGGAAAACTGAACAGGTAATGGGCGCCAGCACTACTACAGCTGCCCGCTCCCCCTTTCCTAAACAGGACTTTTCGTTGCGGAAATGCGTGCGAGTGGGCAGCTTGGTTCTCCAACCTTGCATATGGACTTGTTCTGCCAAAAAAAAAAAAAAAAAAAAAAAAATAAAAGGGGATGTGATTCTTTATAGCTGGTGCGTAGTAACGTGTGTGGTGTGTTGTGTTCAAGGTGAGTTGTAGCGATGCTCTGTGCTGCGCAGCTGCGGTTTGTGATCTGTCAGGTGCCTGGCGAGCCAGCTGACGTTTACCAAGCAGGCTCGCCAGGCGCCACACAGCTTCCAAACAGAATCAGCTGTACCAGTTCCACACAGTCACTGGGCCTCAGCTATCGCCACCGCTCAGTGTCTGAAGGCCACCCACTTGGTTCGTAAGCACCTGAAAGCTCAGCACGGCCCTAAGGTGCTCCACAAAACGACTGTCTCCTAGCGCCGGCTCGGGTAGGGCTGCAGCCAAATGCACGATCGTTTCCGGAAGAAACTTGATGTAGATTTTTCTTGTTGATTAGTTCTGTCGAAAGCGTAAAGCGTGACTGTGTGAGGAAGGTCTAGCTAAATGCATGCCCTGTCAGAGAAGCTGTACTGTGTATATAAATCTGCTCAGTTCCCTAGCTGCCGTTCCTTAGTAGTAAAGCTAGCTTTTTTCTTACAGTGAAGTAAACATTTTGCTTGTGCCTTGGAACTGGGCTATAGCTTGATTTCCCCAACTCCCTCCCTTTCAAGCAAGCCCAGTGCTGCCTGTAGGCTGAATGCTGGGTACTAAGCCTTTTTGGCGCTGAAAGCACACAGGAAAGTGCTAAGGGGAAACCAGACCTCTTGTCTGGAGTAGTTGTTCTTGGGGGTCCCCTCATACCGATCAGGCGATTGATCCGTTTCTTTTCTAAGGTCCTGAATTATTGCTGATTTTTATACTGTTTGTTTAATGACCGAGGCTTGTGTTTCATTCCTCCCCCTTTATTATGCATTTAACTTTATCAGGTGTATCAAGTTTAAATACTGTGTATTTACCACTTTTAAATTATATTGCCTAAGAAGAAAAATACCCCAACAAACTACGTGTTTTTCCACACAGCTGTTCAAGCTTCTCTGTACAAGTTGAAATAAACGACATGCAACCAAACCCAGAGGTAGCTGATCAAGCAGAACCGTTATCCTCTTTGACTGGTCTTTATCAAGCTGTGAGAGTTTGCTTGTTGGAAGAGGAGTCTGAAAGCAACGTCCCGTGTTCGTGAAGTCTGGTGCTCTCCCATTACGGGGGATCGTGGGCTAGGACCAGACCACGGTGGCTCTAGCCACTGCAGAATCCAAACCGAGCCACTCACAGGCAGAGAGCAGAGCGCTGTGTGAGTTGCGACACTCAGTGCTCAGCAGCAGGCAAATAAAGAACAAAACAGACCGATAATGCTGTCGCAAACCCACCGCGCTGCTGGAAGAAAACAGCAGAGCCCCGGCCGGGATGCTGGAGGTACGGACCAGGTCCCAGGGCTCTGTAACACTAGAAAAGCCGTACCTCACGTGCCAATGTGAGCACTGGAGATGCTCAAGGCCACGCAAAGATAAAAGCCAATAAATTCACTTACATTGGGTTGTGTAAACCCATTAAATGCAGCAGCGCAGATGGAGGGTCTGGGGGTGGTGAAAAGCCAGGAGGTACGCCAGGGAACAGCAGCTCGGTTCTTCTGAGCAGCTGGCACTCATGTTCAGCTAAGGCCATGCTAGGCTAACCCACCTTGGCCTCTAACTTCCAAGTCATTTCCCTTGGACGGGGTTTTAATGCAACAGCCACAGACAAGGTGTCAGGAGAACCGAGGTGGAGCAGAAGCTGTAGCTACGGCAGCAGTCTTGCTGAGAGAATCAAGAGGCACAGCAAGCAGTGGCACAGGCTTTGATAGCCCTCCATGTAAAATGAAGACCGTTCACTGACCCTCACCTTCACAGGCCCTGAGGAACAATAAACAAGCAAAACCCAGCTTGCAGGACTTCAAGAGGGCTGAGAGAGGGTAATATTTTATTAAAAGGGAAGTAAATTTTGAAGTAGTACCACAAAAATTAGACAAAATGGAAAAAAAAAATAATTTCTGTAACCAGCAAACCACTTACCACAGCACAATGGAACCAGACACTGCTTTGCCTCGGTCTGTGGCCACTGGAGCTCAGAGACACGATTAAATAGTAGGCACGGGCTCAGCGAAGCATCACAATCCGTCAGGGCAAGGAAAAGCAATCTGACAACAGCAAGGAGCTGCCCTCCCAAGGTTAGGCAACACCCAGCCGTGGCCATGTTCACAGTGAACCTGTGCCTGTTACCCTGTGCTCTCTGCTACCGGTGAGCTCAGGGAAAGGAGGACTCACAAACTGACGTTGTCGGAGCAGTCCCTGTCCCAGGCTTAGCTGGTGCAGAGGCCTCTCATAGAAGCACAATTGTCCCCATGTCCTTAGTGCAATTAACGTGGAAAGACAGCAGACAAGGAGCGGACCCAGTTATTCTCTCCAGGGTTGGCTCCAACCAGCAGAAGTAGTGAAGAAGGTCCTTTTCTCAGGTTTGTTCCCCGCTTCTTTCCAAGGGAAATAGGGTGGGTCGCACGGCAGGGTCAGAGTAACGTTCACAGCAGCAGTTCACAGCAGCAGTTGGTGCTGTAGCAGCAGGAGGTCAGGAGTTTGTTCCGTATGTCTCACCAACTCCCTACAACAATCAGAGATTACAGTTCTCTGCCAGAAAACTCTTCTTTCTTCCCCTGCCTCTCACATAAAGCCTCTGTACGGGCAAGCTGCTCTCCGCTACTCAGACTTTACATTTCCAGTGCCACAAGGTCTTTTGATTGAGAAATCCACCCCCTGCAGCAACACTTCCCACCACGCACAGGGCTGCAAGGC